TTGAATAATGTATCCTAATTTGAGCACATTTTGACTGCCAAGAAATAAGAAAATGCCAATGGGAGAAAGCCGAATGATCTTGTTTTAAAACTATACAAGACATGTCTCTCTTGGAATGAGAAAATAAAGCAATACTTCTATAAATAAGACTGATTGACTTTGTCCCATTGGAGAATCTTGTTTTAGGACACTCAGAATAAACTCAAATTACGATGAAAAACACTTGATTAAAGCAAATATTACCTCATATTTCATCACATTTTGCAGTGTAACTCAAGTAGTGCTTTTCAATTAACTAATGCAGTAAAATACATCCTTACTATTTTTCATGCACAGCCTCTTGCCATCGACTGTGATTGTAAACAAATATATGTTTTATGTTGTGGATGACTGGGCACCGCAGAGAAACGCAACTTTTACTAATAGAATCTGCCAGGAGACATCAGGTGAGTATTTAGTACGCCACACCGTAGATTAGCATAGATGTTTGTTTAGCATACAGATGAAGCGTGTTCCAGCAGTGCATCAAATCTCACATCATGGAGAGATAACATAATTTCATCACAGCAAGGTTTACATCAACAAACATTAGGAAAACAATTTGTGGTCTGGTCCTAACAAGCACAATCTAACAATCATATTTGTTTTCTTAAATTATATATAAGGCCAGTGGTATCTATTGCACTGTACTCTTATCTCATTTATTGTCTTTTGGAGAGGGCACAAAAGTAAATGAAGACTAACGAGCAGTGAAGAACTAAAAGGAAGATAAATGGTTTGATTGCGGCGAGACGGGCACGGCTGAAGAACTCAATAGCTTCCCTCTCTTCTCCATTCAAGCAACACTTTCCCGTCTCGCAGGGCAAGAAAAACAATTTCAATTTACAAAGTAAGAGCGGATTTCAAATTAGACAAGTGGGTGTTATGAACTTTTCATTTGAATCTAATACAACACGCGCTTTGACTATTCCTCTATGGTTTTTAATGATTTTACTATGAATTTGTTTCATTGTGCAGCATTTTGGAAACTGTCTCTATGAAATGTGTTGTATGAATATAGTGGATTGGATTAAAGTAGCAATTTAAAGGGCCCTAAATGTCACGTGGTGGGAAGGAGGAGGAGATCTCAGCTCCTGTGGACTCACCACCTGCAGGAGGATCAGTGAGGGGCTGGTGCTAAGTGTACTGGGTGCAGCTCTGACTGCCACCCCCCTGACCCAGAAATGGATTAAGGGGAAGAAAATGGATGGATGGATGGATGGATGGTTTAATGATGAAAATTAAATAAAAGTCCAAGGTGAAGACAAAATTCAAACAAAACCCAGGAACCAGGAAAACAGACTGACAAGGACAGAGACAATACAGGACGGAGGTTGACAATGCAATGGACCAGCAACAAGAGTAGAGTAGCACAGGTACATATAGACACAGACACAGATGAAACACATCAGGGCGGGGCAGACAATCAAGACAGGGGAAAACAGGACAGGAAGTAAAACCAAAACCAAACCACAGAGAACAATGTCAAAATAAAACCAAAGTACAAAAATAACAAATTCCCCACCATGACACTAAAGGCATCAATAAACCATAATCTTTTTTGAATACTTCTTTAATTGATAACAGTAGTTCAGTGATATTTGGATTTTAAAATTAGTTTTACAGCGTCTCAATCTTCTTATTGTTTTTATTTTGATGTCTCACCCTCCACCGTTTTCCAAACAGAAAGTCTGTGATCCGGGTTGCCAGAACTCACTGCACTGAGCTAATCTCACTGGTACAGTACCTAAAAAAAGGTCTTGTTATGATTTTCAAATATTAACGACAAAACAAGGAATACAGCAAGGAAATACATCTTTGTGAAAAAGGTGTTGGTTGTAGATTTGTTGTTGACAAAACTCTTGTCTTTTCAGATATTATGGTCGCAGCTGGATTCATCTGCATATCTGGCAACCTGAGTCAGAGTGAGAAGGAGAGGTTGAAGTATCACTTTTGGGCAGATTTTTACACATCTCCTTTAACTTCAAAAATCTCCCCGTTTGCTTTGCTATTAATTAATTAATTTCACAGAACAGGGCGACAGCAGATTAGTTGGTAGAGCATTGGCCTTTGAGCCTGAAGGTCGTGGGTTTGAGCCCATCATGAGACCTTCTCCACCGACACCCACTGATGACTGCTTGGGCAAGACACTTAACCCCACTTTGCCTGAAGCCCCCACTGAAAGATCGAGCCTCCTGTGGACTCAGCACCTGCAGGAGGATCAGTGAGGGGCTGGTGCTATGTGTACTGGGTGCAGCTCCCACTGCCACCCCCCGACCCAGAAATGGATTAAGGGGAAGAAAATGGATGGATGGATGGATATTTCACAGAATAGTGGAAAATCCTGCAAATATTTCAGAATCTGTTTTACTTTTTTAGGGTGGGACTTGTCCAATAGACTACCCGTCATTGGACAAATGTTTGGTGGTAGAGGAAACTAGGCCAGAAACAGGGAGAACATGCAAACTCTATACACGCCCTGTGCTGCACCACCCTCTAAAGACCCATCAGAAAAGGCTAATGTGCCGTTTACACTAATGCTAACATGTGCTTCGAGCGCGACACGGAGGGGAATTCTACTCCTTTCATCCAAACGAAACAGCGAGAAACAGTGGATTTAGTTTCCATTTTTGTGGCTACTGTTAAATGCAGAATAAAGTTAGTTCTTTCACGTCTTTGCAGCGGCCTGAGGAGGATGTTGTTGAGGAGGTGGTTATTCTGGTGGTTCCACTGCCCACTACTGGCCGGCCACTAGAACTACATTGTTTTCCGTTGTTGTGTAGACGCTATGAACTTCGAATGAGGGGCCTGCTCGTTTTGGCTAATAGCTTTGCAGGGTCTCCGCAGCGCGCCTGTCTAAACGGGGCCTCATTGTTGATGATTTGTCGGTAAAAGATTAAATTTACTTGGAGAATTTTTCATGGTTGTGTGAAGATTATACATATTAAAATACCTATTCATTTAATTTACGTAAATATACCGTCATAGAAAATCACCTTTAATATTGACAGTACATATACAACAAAATACGTGAAATAGTTTCCCCATCAAAATTAGATGACAATTTATTCAGTCAGTGTGCAATGAAAATGTGAATGTCAGAAAGATATTTGAAACTTTTGTGGCTTCTTCTTGTGTGGGCAATCCTACAATGTTTTTTTTTCCCATCTGGATGATAATGACACTTATTGTATTCCTTTCCAGGCTAAATCTGAATGTTTACCACTGTTCTTTTATCTCGACGCCTTGTTTGTTTGTTCTGACAACCAGCGCATATACTTAACAAAGGGCTGCAATACATGCTGCTGAATGGTAATTGTCAATTATGCCAATCAAAATCCAATTGTCCCTGGCACAAATCTTGCATTATTGAATTTATATCTAATGTTGTCAGCCTGGCTCACAGACCTATTAATCAGATTACTCTGCACCCGAGCCCCCTTTTGCATTTCATGGAGGAGCGGACGGAAACGACAGCTCTGTTGCACTGATTAGATGAAAAGAAAATGAGAGGTGTGTGACGTCTGTCGTTCGTCACAGAGGTCACAGGAGCAGTCTGGTCGATCTGTAAAATTACTTTAAATTACTGTTCAAAAGCATCCAGTTCAGAAAAAAGACAGTGATTTGGACTGTATACTAATGGTCCGGATGAAACATTCTGAGACTAGGCCATTATGGTTCATCTGTTAACAATGACGTGAGAACGGTCATATGAGGACGGTGAAAACGGGATTTGATAGGAATAAACCTCTTCCCTTTCAAAAAACAAACCAAAAATCCCCAAAAATAGGAACCAGGAAAACTGAATGCACTGGAAACGGCAGCAGGTCCTTAGTGTCTCTGAAACAGTTGTTGTTTTGTGCCTTACAATTTTTATTTTTATTGCTTTTTTCTACCTTTGTTACTACAGTACAGTGTTCATGGTTTTACACTGGTCAGACAGAAGCAAAGAGGATTCATGGTCCGAACCAAGATGATCAGGTGAAAATCCACTAGTGGAATATTGATTTTTGAAAACTGCTAATCAAGCATTGGGCCTTTTACTTTGGACTGGAGCAGAGAAAATGGTCCTAACCAAGTGGCTACTCCACCTTGTGATCTGTCCTGCTCCACTCAGAGGCTGCTCCATCTGCTGCTGTGACCTGAAGGGTTGAACTGAAGGGCCGGTTCTTCCAAAAATAGCTCTTGAGAGTACCGCCACCTCTCTGTGCACAAAGAACATGCTTTTGGCGTACGGTACTTTCAGTCCATGACCAGTACTTACAGTCCATGACCAGTACTTACAGTCCATGACCGGTACTTACAGTCCATGACCGGTACTTACAGTCCATGACCGGTACTTACAGTCCATGACCGGTACTTTCAGTCCATCAGCTCCACACAGACGGACAGGCTGTAGATCCAGGACCTATGCTACAGAATGAGGACCAAGGCCATGCAGGTACCTCGTTATGGTCTTTCAGAACACAATACAAGATAAGATCTTTATGTACTTGGTCAGAAACATCTCTTGCCCCGAGCTGCCAATGTCAGGAGCCATGTTTGGTCACATTTGATTGGACGGTTGAATAACCAATCAGAGACAGGGGAAGTGGCTGCAGAGTTGAACAACTATTTACAGTAAGCATCACGGAAATTCCTCACCAGAGAAGTAACATCAATTTAATGATTGTGCTGATTCTGACAAGACCTTTTGCTGTCAACATCCCTTACTTTAAAGAGCTTAGAGGAGTTTGTTATCCAGAGTTTAACCAGCTATTTCCCTCAGGTGTTAAAAATGTGTTAAAACCTACACTGTTAGACCAGACTGTAAAAACAGCAGTAATATACCACTTTTCAGCCAGTATGACACTGTAAATACCAACTGTGGTAAAAAGCTGTAATTTGCACTGCATCATGGGAAGTTTAACTGACGACATCCACAAAATACAGTATTTTACTTCCTATTTAAAAAATGTTGTATGGTACTGTATTTTTTGCCGCTCATCAAACTTCTTTAACAAGCGCATTCATTTTCACCCCCGAAACACCTGCGCAGACCAGCTCACCACGCGCCCATAAGCAGCAGCCGTTGAGGAGAGCAACATATTGGAAATACCCGGTACGTCTGAATAATAATAATAATAATAATAATAATAATATTAATACAACTGGGCTTACACTGTGTGATTTTAGAGACGCGAGTCGTGCGGTCCTGGCGCCGTGGCAGCACTATACTGACGCCAGACGAGAGCATTTGAACACGGGGAATACAGCAGCAGGCCCCAGGAGGACGGGAGACACAGAGCGGGCAGTGAGGTGAGCGAGGGATAAAGATACTGATAATAACGTCCTCCTGAACACAAAGTTGGCAAAAGTTTAGTGTCTATCGGCTAATTTAAGCTAGGCTACTTGTCGTGTGTTGCTAAGTTAGCCTCGCCAAAGTGATTTAATTGATGTAGACACGGTGTTTGAGAGGATGAGGTGACAGACCAAGCTATCCATCCATGGCATGTCACTCGTACAGTGTGAGCAGGTCACTCGTGTGCGTTTTTGCTCCGTACAGTGAGAGCACCTGCATCGTGGGTTCCTACATTTCTCGTGCGATTCAGTGTTAATTTTTAATGTTGGTTTAGTGTTAGTTTTAATTTAGTTTTAGTCTTAATGTTTTGACTAAAGCAGAATTTAATTTTAGTCAAAGTTCTCTTAAATTTTAGTTTTAGTCAACTTAGAATAAATATTAGCAATGAAAATTGACTATCATAATTAATCAAGGTCCTCTGCTTTATGGAGCTTTTCCCACATGAAGAAAGCTCAGACGCACAGTATGAGTTTAGCTTGTTCTAAATTGTGTCTCAAATCACAGTGTATGCCCAGCTTTAGTTGATGTTAAATTCTGATGAGGTTTACCTTAGAAAATATCACTCTCATCTAGGGCTGGCTCAGTACGAATATTATCTTCCAGTTTTAAGCTATTGTAAGTTTGAGCCTGGTGACATTTTTGTGAGGGGAAGGCAATATTGGCATTGGCTAGCTAGACAATTGAAATAAAATAAATAACATAAAATGATTGAAATCCCTTTTTGTGTGTGTGTGTTTTTAAGATAAATGCGACAAAGCTGTCAGTTGAAGCAGAGATGACCCTTCCAGCCACGCCAAGACTGATACTGCTTGGTAAGATGAGACTTCCCCTTGATTTTAGAAGAATTTTTAAAGTATGACTATGTGCAATGTGTGTTTTTTTGTCTTCAGGGAACACATTTCTCTCAGCCATGAAATGGATGGTGAGCTTTGAGGGAAGAGTTGCCTACATCTTAGAAGAGCATCTGGGCTTTGCAGATGCGTTGTCAGTATTCTTCGGATGCTTCTATGTTTTTAACATAGAGTACCAGGAGCCTGCATGTGCAACCCTTGAGCTCATTCAACGGCAAGTGTTTTTATCACACATCTCTGGCAAAATATTAAAGGAATAGGCCACCGTTTTTACATACTAAGATATGTTCTTACCTTAGCTTTGACAAGTTCATTTGTACCTGTCTGGTCTTCACGTGTGCCTTCCGTAACGTAAACACAGCACAGACGGCGTTAGCATTTAGCCTCTCTCTTCTCCTCTATAGCTCCAAACGAGGTGAAGATAGAAGCTCCCAAACTCTTCCACGGTTTCCCTATTTAAATATGGTTACGTAAAGTGTTACACTATAAAGTATAATTACACAACATTAAACAATGTGGCTTTTCTAAGTGGATAAAAAGGGGAACTATATTGTAAGGCGTAATAATACCAGGAGTAATTCGACATCTGCACAGTAAAGTGAAGACATCACTGCACGGATGCCGAATATTTCTCCTGGTGTTATTACGCCTTACAATATTAGTTCCCCTTTTTATCCGCTTAGAAAAGCCACATTGTTTAATGTTGTGTAATTATACTTTATAGTGTAACACTTTACGTAACCATATTTAAATAGGGAAACCGTGGAAGAGTTTGGGAGCTTCTATCTTCACCTCGTTTGGAGCTATAGAGGAGAAGAGAGAGGCTAAATGCTAACGCTGTCTGTGCTGTGTTTACGTTACGGAAGGCACACGTGAAGACCAGACAGGTACAAATGAACTCGTCTAAACTAAGGTAAGAACATATCTCAGTATGTAAAAACGGTGGCCTATTCCTTTAAATTTTCACAGTCTCAATACTGTTACAAGCCATGTAGATGTAATGTATATTGATGAATAGGATTTATTTTTATTTTTCATAAAGATTCTTTGTCAGGATAAATCCAGAGGAGGGAACAAAGTGCTCTGCAAAAATCGGCACAAGTCGTAAGACTGGAGCAGAGGTGAAGAGGAAGGTGGAGACTGTCAACAGCAGGGTGTCTTCCTTCCTGTGCCAGCTGACTGAATTTGAATGGAAGAACTTGGATTAGGTGAGATTTTTTTGTCTGACCAGAAAACTCTCCCTCCAACACCAAAGGGAGTTTTATAGGGCATTTGATGCAATTGTAGGCCACATTGTTTTTCGACTGGGTGAAGGTTGTATCTATTCAGACTTCAGTTTTAAATTATGTTCTAATTTGGAGGTTATATTGTTTTTCAACTGGGTTTCAGTGAATGTTGGATCTATTCAGAGTTTTAATTTATGTTCTAATTTGGTTCACAGATTCGTGGTGGGAGAATGTCACTTGGCAGAGCACCGATCCACCCTGAAATGTACATTTGTGGTTCTATGTTGAATTTCTAAAGCGCTCATTTGGTTGTAAAAAGGTACACACAATAAACGTGTATCTTTTTCATTTTTAAGAGTGTCCTGGGTGCATTTTTTTAAAAATTTGAAAAAATGATATTACAGTAGTGTACTGGTCATTTACAGTAAAAAACCACATTCCAGCTTTACAGTAACTCTTTACTACTGTAAATATGAAATACAGTTCTGCTACTGTAATCTAGAATTACAGTAACTTACTGGCATCAGTGTTGCCAGTAAGTTACTGTAGAAAACACTGGAAAGGGTCTAACAGTGTGAGGTTTGTGATTGGGGAGGCACTGACTTTAAAAGTCAGATTTACAATCATTATTCAAATAAAATAGCATTTAATCACCAATGCAATGACATCCACAAACTTTATATACTGTAAAGATAAGAGAACCAGCTTCTTTTAATAATCTCACAACAAATCTAGCTGCTGACTCTGCTCCGCATCAAACAACATCTTTAAGAAGCGCAGGTGCGAGAGACGCGAGGAGAGAGAGACGCAGAGAGAGGCGAGGAGAGAGCAGAGAGACAGAGAGAGACGAGAGAGAGAGACGAGCAGAGAGAGAGCGAGGAGAGAGAGGAGAGACGGAGACGCGAGGAGAGAGAGACGAGAGAGAGAGAGAGAGAGAGAGACAAGAGAGGAGCAGAGAGAGAGCAGAGAGACGCGAGGAGAGAGAGACGGAGACGCGAGGAGAGAGAGACGCGAGGAGAGAGGAGCAGAGAGAGACAGAGAGGAGCAGAGAGACGGAGACGCGAGGAGCAGAGAGACGCGAGGAGAGAGAGACGCGAGGAGAGAGAGACGCGAGGAGAGAGAGACGCGAGGAACATAAACAATAATTTAAACAAGTTGCAGAACTCTTGAGCAGTGTTTGAATCAGTGTTTTTCGGAAAAGCACTACTTTGCCGGTATCTGTCAATGTTCAACATAAAACACAGATTAACAAACTCCTCCCCCGCAGCCGGACTAACCTCGTAAGTCCAGTGGTGGTCTCCCAGTCTATATTAATTCTTTCTTTGTTTTGAAAGTCCAATTGAGAAAAAAAATCTTCATTCAAATCATCCATTTTCCAGCAAAAGAAATAGCATTTTGGGCTGATTGTTTGTTAGCAACTCTGGTATGAACTTTATGCTCACTATCACCCCTAGCGGTGAGGCACAGATACCGCCTGCCTCACGCCAAGCTTTTTCCTTGTGTGTTCATCTACGATCAAAAGACTTAAACTAAATATAAATTGTACACACATACGTGCAATACACTACTAAACACTAAGAGGAGTTTAAAAAATGTTTTTAAAGCAGGATATTTGAAACAAACGGTGATATATCAACTGCACGAGCTGAGTGCACTCAGACACACACACACACACTGTGAGGGAGCGGTCTGGGGTGAGGCACGCAGGAGCGCTGCCTCACCTCGTCTCTTTGAATAGGAATAACGGGATTTCGGCGATTTTGACTTCAGAAATGATCAAAACTGATGGGAACCGTGCCGAATATACATTAAAAGCATAGGACAGTGGATATAAATTATATATTTAAACTAAAATAATTATTAGTTTCCAATAATGGCAGGTGAGGCTCTGCCTCCCCTGCCTCCCCTGACTGCACGTCCCTGGGAGGGTCCTAGCAGCAGACCGTGTGGAGGGTTAGGACAGCAGACCAGTGGAGCACCTCAAAAAAGCCACAGAAAAGTGGACTATTGCTAAAATTATCACTGAGTCCACACCAGGAGCCAGCAGCAAAGTCCAGATATGGTCACAGCGCACGCCGGACTAAACAGACGCTCTGTAGATGTAACCACACAAAAACACACAAACGCGTGCATAAACGCACATACATGCACGCCCAAACACACAAAGACACACAGCAGTATTCTGTTGCACTTATAATATAAGTATAAGTATTCACTTTGATTTATTGTCATGTATAGTGTTTATCATTGTAATTTTGTTATTCTTTGATTTATTCTTATTGACATAAATATAGCGCCACCTAATGGATGAATACTGGCCATTCTATCTGGCATAGTTTGTCATGGGCTCTACTTTCAATATGTACATTTTGACATTTTTTGGATGAGTACATTTTGAAATTTTTGAGCAACACTTTGTGGATGTGTGTGTGCCATAAAACTTATTATTTTACATTAAAAACACTTTCTCAAAACGTGTTGCTGTTTTCTAACATGTAAGATCCTGGACATGTTTGAGGAGATGCTAAAGTTAAACTAAATAGTTTTACAATCACTTTTCTGCAGGTTCGTCTGTTTTCAAAAAACCTCATTTTCTATTTTTTTTGTCTAAGACTGGTGCTTTTTGTCACACTCTCCTCTTTTCGACTGGAGATCACAGGAGAACAAAACAAACTAAGAACAAACTTCTTTTTGCTGCTGAAAGTAGACAGTCCTGTCTTTCAAACTCTGGTTTCATATTTTTCATAGCACACAATATTCTGTGAGTCTTAAAAATCAGTGAAGTCATCAAAAAATGGCTGGCAGTCAATGAGAACCTCTTTTTCGTGTACAAAAATTACATAAAATTACAGATGATAAAACAGTCACATACAGATGATAAAATAGTCACATACAGATTATACAACAGTAACACGCAATTTCATAAAATTACGGATTATAAAAACAGTTACATTTCACTGAAGATGTCTCAATCTGGATCTAAAAGCATTCAAGGAAATAAGATCAGATCATTTCTAGTCTTTTTGCAACACGTTCCATGTAGAAGGAGCAGTTTTTTTCCCCCAGTTCTGTGCAAAAGGAACAGAGAGCAACAAACGATCATTTGATCCAAACCATGAGAACATGTCTCTGTGAGTAAACGGCAGATGTAAGAGGGCAGCAGAGCAAGCCTTAGAAACTAAAGTGCACCAAACCTTCTGTGGACAAAGATCCCACTCCAGAATATCACTCACAGTGAGGCTTTGCAGTTCGCAATGAATGAAACATTTAAAACAATTTTTTTTCTTATATTTAAGCGCAGTCTTACTGTTGAAACTGTGTAAAATATTACATTAAATATACTTCTTTAGGAATGAAACCTCTGCCTTGTTATTGATGAATACTTAGGCTTACTACGCTACTGTGTGGTGTGGTCATTTGTGGTGGTACTTGGAGAGGCAAGTATTTTCTGAGGGGGTACTTGGTGTGAAAAGTTTGAGAACCTCTGCTCTAATCTAAATACTGGCAGATTCTTAACTATGTAGTTGAGATCAGAAATGTGTGCGCAATGCTCCACTACAGCTTCAATAAGGTCTGTGCTAAAACCTGTACACACAGACTTGCTTGTGAAAACTGGATTTTCTTTGGCAGTTTAATGATGACATATACTCCTCTAAACAGTCCTGAACCAACTGTCGTTCTGTTGGTTTCACCTCTCTGCACTTTAATGACTGGATCAAATTTTTAGATTGTTCATATAATGGTATGGGTTCTGTACAACTGTCACCTTCACATGCACATTGTGAATGGCAAAATGTGCAACACAAATGACCTGGACATACACTACTTGTAGTCTCTTCAAAATGGGAGTAGAGAGCTTTTCGAAAGCAACCTTTTAAGCCATTTGCAATCACCTCTTTAACAGTAACGTCATCCCTCGTGACATGTTTGAGGATATACAAAATGGCATGTGACTGCAATCCATGCCTACCAGCTCTGCCAACCTGCTGAACAATGTCTTCAACATCATTTGGTGATCCATACATGACAACATGGGACACATTTGGAAAATGTAAGCCCATGCCCAACGCAGTTGTGGCAACTACTACCCTGCAGTGTCCCTCTCCATTGAGCGATTTTAGCAGCCTGTCCTTGTGATGTTGCAATGTCTTGCTGTGAAAAACTCCAATGAGAAGATTTTCAGACTGATGGTCATTGTCAACCCATGCGCCTTCACCAAGTTCTGCTTTTAGGTGGCAAAAAAGTCTCCCTATTGTTTTTAGAGACTTGCAATAGATAATGATTGGAGGCATTGATTGTTTTTTTTCTTGAATCATTGTCACAATCCAGTCCATACAGCTGAAGTTGTTAGATGGAACTTTACACAGTCCAAGTCTGATGTTCTTCCGGTTGGGGCTCACAGTCACTAAGGTAGCGGCTTCCATGTGCAAGAGTTTGGTTACACGGTCTCTGTGGTTGGTCTCAGCTGATGCAGTCATCGCCAAGACGGGTGTTCCTGAAAGGAATGAGCAAATATATAAGCCATACATTTACACTCATTGTCTACTTATTATTACATAAATGGCATTGATCTGAAAATTCACAGTAATAAAAAGGTGGGAGTGGATTATTTTTGTCAAACTGCAAATTTGTATATATTGCTATTGTATGAACCACAGCATGGCAAGTCCAAGACAAATTTCCCTATGAGACAATAAAGTTTATCTTATCTTAAATCTGTTAAAACACAAAGTAGTACAATGGGCATTGTCAAAATCGTACAATAATTATCATGAATAAATGATCACATTAAAACATTACACAACTACTATACACTAATCTTATAGCCTATGCCATATGTTGTGTCAAGCTCCATATCAATCGAATCAGTCCCCCCCCCTGCCCCTCCTTGAGAAAACTAATAACGTACCTTCACGAACAATAGATCGTAGTTCTCCAAGCCTGGAAAAACTCTCTGAAGGCTGGCTTTCCTGTCGCACCTT